TTTATATGGAATATAGTTTTTTAGATATTTTTACCTCGTTAATGTCTTAAAATATTTCATATCTAACTAGCAGCAAGTATAAAGCTAGCATATTCAAGTACATAGAATTATGGTTATTCTTTTCTTTTTGTGGATCTAACCTTACACCAGTGTTCAGTGACAGAAAGCACCCTTAAAAACATACTCCATTCCTCTTGAAATAAAGTTTTAAAGAAATTTAGATATCTGAAAGCAATTTAAATTACATGCTATTACAAAAAAAAATAAATAATCCATCTAGACTAAAAAAATTACTCAAGACTAGTTGTGAGTTGGTCCACACGTGACCTACCTTCACTTCTTTCCACCTCATGAAGGTGTGGGTTAATGCTCTTTAACATAGCTTAACTAGGCAAGCTTAATTTTGATGAGCACTGAGAACTGATGCCAACTAGGTAAAGCAAGAGGCGGGGTGGGGGGGAAGATATCCTGGATTTTAGCTTGAAAAAGGGTCTAACTTAGAGAACACTGCAATGCGTTATCTAAGTTTAACCTGCCTTCAAAGGCATTTCCTAGCATAGGACTAATTGAAGACTTATTCTCACACACTTAACACTTCATATGGCCCTTTATTTACAGATCATTGACAGGAAGGTGCCAAGCAGTCTATAATAATTCAATCTGTTTCTGTGAAATAATATGATGTGCTAATTAAAACAAGGTGCACAGTAGCTACTAATTTTAAAAAAAAATAATTTTAAAAATACAAAAATCACAGGTTAAGAGTATGGACTGAAAACTTTCCTTTTAATGAAGAATTCTTTTTAATGAATTCCTGCACTATTACAAGAATGTAATAAAGCATCTGAAGTCGTAAAAAAAAATATGATCTCTCATAAAATTTAAAAACAGACAAACTGATTTGTCTCAGAATTTATACAAAAATAATTGGACTGAGAATTTACATGCCAAGTTTCCACTTGGAAAGAAATTTTAGGGACTGTTACTATTCCAAAATGCTGAATATGAAGGTACCTAATGGAAATGCTGACCAACTCTTTACTTCACCAGTGCAAGCTGGACACAAATGTTCACAGACACTCTGTAAGAATCCGAAGCTTTCTTTGATAAACTGTTTCCGTAACCAAAAATGACTAAGCACCTTTCCCAGCTTTTCAGGTCAGTACAGATATAAGCAAAGAAATCCCTATCTTGCAAATTTCCTGACTTCCCAGAATAGCTTTGAAGCAGGAATTATCATAAGTCATGAGTGAAAATGTATTATAAGAAGTGCTAATGAGGCATGAATTACAGCCTTTACTTTTTTTGTTACGAGACCATTCTCTGGAGAGGTCGCCATGGCCAAAATATCATTTTCTCTTTTCAGGGCAACTTGAAGGCATTTGTTTCACATTATCTATCTGATACAAGCTGGAGAAATAGCGATCTAATCAAATCATACATGGTTTTCTTTACAGTTTAGCAAAAAGTACTGACCCTCCCAGAAATTAATCCTGTATTTGGGTACAGTAACTTCTGTTCAGCAGTAGGCCAAGGCCAAATATGAAATTAAACTCCTGGTTAACATAAAATAACCTTTAGCCTATGCTGTTCTTAAGACTTTTTCACTAGATCCTTTCCACAGGGAATCAACCAGCTTATTTCTGATTCATTTTTCTTTCCTTTCTGGGAGTGGTTCCCAGTGCAGTAATCTTTGCCAATGGGACCAAATTGTGGTCTTTTTAAGAGCATGTTCCAGATTTAGACCCATGATTCAAGCCACCATCTGGTTTTAAAGGGGAAAACCCTCCTCTGTGGAAATATTAACCTGACATGTCTCCAGTCTAGACTAATAATTATGTTAAAAGGACAGAGCGAGTCCATTATCCGCATGGAATGGGTGGAGGTGGTTTGATAAACCAGTAATAAGAGGCGTCAGACTAGCCACCGAGGACTTTTCATACTTACTTACTTTCTTATAAAAAGGAACCTTAGGCTCATTCAAGAATTCTGCTTCCACTGGGACTGGCAAACAGTTCGTTTATTTCCATCAAAGGCAAAGGACTGCATTTTGTGTAGTGCCCATAAAACAGGAAATGGAATGTTGTTCAACAAAGGTTGACTTGCTCCTGTAGATTTTTGTCGACGCTGCTTTTGTTCCAAATGGGAAGCAGGGTTCCTCTAATTGTACCATTCCAATTCTTCCATTGCAGCCTTTTATATATTCAAATGGACGTATTCATTTAAAATGGTCTATGCTTTGAAAATACTGCACAGGCAAAACAAGTGCTGAGAACCAGAATGAAGCAGGTGACCTTCAGCCGAAAAAATAAATAAATGTACAATTCACATTCACAGAGTGACAGTTTTCTCATGCAAGTTCCCTAGGCCCCATTTTAGCAGTGGGCTTAAAAGAGGCTTAACTTTCATGCAAAAAACTTCAGAAATTGGTGGCAAAGGCCTCACCAAGGTTATTGATCCTACAAAACTTGCACCTGTGGAACTGGGGAATGTGCTCTCCAGTGCCATCTACTGGCGCCTGAACCATTAACCGACTCTTCGAGCGTCTCCCGTACAAATGACTCACGCCAGAGCTCTGAGCATACACGTAAACACGTACTTATTTAGGCTATTCCTACTTTAGTCGTAGTCACTTATGAATTCTAGAGTAGGGAAATCCAAGGGTGTCTCGCTGACTGTTTTTAGAAGGGCACGCTAATGTAATATTTATACAATCACGTTGGTATTCATCTTTGACGCACACAGTTAGACCACCATCAACAAGCGTGAGTGCAAATCCTTTTGCCAACCTCCCTGAGTCTACCTGGAGTTCTTAAAATGAGCTTTTCAATTCAAAAGTGCTAACCGAAGTACCTTGTTACAGGGAAAACTCTTTATCCCATCTTGAAACAGCCAAGAAGAAAACAGATTTTCAAGCACACTTTATGGACAAAGGAAAATAAACTGCATATAGCACTCATGTAAAATATTTGAATTATTTGCTTGGATTTTCCTTCCACATATTTCAAAGAATTATAAAGAGACTGAGAAGCATTGTTATCACCATTTTCCACAGAGGGAAACCGAAAGAGGAAACTAAAATGTGGCTGTTTTTTTTCTTGCAAGCACGGCAGTCGCTGAAAAGGGAAAGAAAATACTTCAGAAATTCTCGCTTCTACCTGCTGTTTTTCAGATCACTGTTTAAAATGGCATATTTGAACTGACTGCTTTCATATTAATTCAGGAGGTTGACATTTTTAAATAGCTGCATACAAATGTCTAATGAAAGATAAATTTACAACCTCATTGGAAAATACTGCTGTTATCTAACTTTGCAGAGCCACATCTGAAACTAGAACAGTTACCTGCATTTGTAGCATAAATTCCTGTCATAAATTAACACTACAAAATGAAGCACAGTTTTATACACAGACATATGAATTGCTCAAGAACTCAAAGCGATGTTTTTCTTTCTCTTCAGCTCTCCAAGGTAACTAAGAGGAAGTAACAATCCTAAAAGACTGTGATCTCGTTTAGGGGGTAGTGATGCCCAACGTAGATACAGAGGAGATAGAAGAAAAGCCTCAAAGATGCAGTACAAAAAAAAACAAAGGAGAAGACCCTGAAGCTCCTGAAGACCCACTCTAATGTATGAAATGGACATCACTGAAACAAAGCTTAGCCAGTCTGGCCCAAAACATGACACAGACAAGGAAAAAAATATATCACGAAAGAAAATGTAGCCAAATAGCTTTGTCTTCCTGTAGATGAAAAGCAGTGCCCTTCCAGAAGGGCAGTAATTGGTGTACTGGGGACACCCCACACCCTCCCATTGTCCAGCCAAAAAAGGACTGAGCTTATGTCACATGAGCTAACTCTTTGCAACACCATTAGCTCGGACTCTTACCCGAGTACTGCCTCTCAAGCACTTCCAGCACGCACTCAGGCTTGGGAAAGTGGTGCTTGCCATGGCACAGGCGTTTTCTATGTAACCCCCAGTAAACTACAAACAAACCATCCCACAACTCAGCTATACTGGTACAGATACTATAGCTATACTCAGCTATACTGCTACACTCTGGTAGCAGAGATACAATCACTGGGAATGCGGAACAACTGTTTGCACCGTGACAAAGCTAAACTAGATGGTGCCATTCGCTGAGGTCACCTCTGAGGAAGTGCAGTTAGGACTGTGATTGCATCATCACCAGACTGGAAATATGACCAGAGGACTGCACAGCTTCCTTCTGTCTAGGTCACCGTGCACCTTTCCATTAAGAAATAATAATGCCTGCAACAATTCGGCCTTAACAGGCTTTGCCAGTTTGAACTTAAAGTGAAACTGTAGTGGTTTAAAATAGGATCTTGCTGCTATACAAACATAAATATTTCATTACTAAGGTATTTTTCGAGACTATATGGATGCTTCCTGAAATTGCTGAAGTCGTGATTCGGGGATATCTTTTTTGCAATACCAAGCTTTGCTCATTTATTTCCTGGACGGCAAAATTCACTGTTCAAGAGAAAACATTATACATGCCCTCCAAGTATTAATATTCCATTACTGCTTCTGCCACCGCAGAAAGTGAGTAAAGAAAGTTGCTGGCCTGTGATTTGGAAACTCCCTTGCCTACCATAAGCTGTGTGGCTGTTAAGCACAGCTCCCCTCCAGGCTCTGTTCCTCATTTCTGAAGCAGAGATAATAGCAACTCCTCGCTTGCTTCACAATAGCGTTGGGAAGTTAAACACAATAAACCCTCAGGAACACTGTGGTCATAAGAAGAGTAAAGCAGCAGAGGCAAAAAGTCAGGGCGTATTTATTTTGCTGGCAAAGCACTGCTCTCCAAGCAGTAAGTCAAACACATCCTTGGTGTAATGACAGGTAGGGCTGCAAGTGAGATGCGTTCGGCCTGTTGCTTTTAACTGGCATTGTTTCTGTTGCTAGCTTTTCAGGACACTGCAATCAAATAATTATTGTTTCCTTGGTTGCCAACTATTTTTCTTTTATTAGTAATACCGACCTTTGTTTATTCTTCTTCCTCCCATGGGAAATTTCAACACGCCTCCAGAAGGGATGTTGTATGACTCTCATTTATAATGGGATCACTCCCTTTCTTCCCAGGGGAGGCTTTCTCTTTCCACTTTTTCCCCTCTGTATTTGTAGACAGGGACACCAAGTCAAATCTCTGCTGTGTTCACATTCACATGGCCTGGACAAGAGGAACAGATCAGCAGTTCTCACACATTTGCCTAGGAGACACACAGCTGAAGAGAATTCATCTCAGACACCATTCCATTAAACTGTTTAACATTCATTCTGGCAACACTAGCAACAGACCATATAGAAAAGTAGTATCAAAAATACATTTTTGTGGGTTTTTTTTTTCTTTCCTTAATGTAGCACAAGTTTTCTGGGGTTTTGCATCCTTCATGTCTTTGCTTTTTTGCTCTTCACTTCCTACTTGTTTTCTCACCATGCTCATTCCTTTCTCACCAATGTATGCATTTTACTATCTGTCCCCAGTTTTACTCACTCACAGCTTATTTCTTGGTGTGACTGTGTCCTCTTTAGTTACCCCTCCACGCCCCCACACCTGATCCTCCTCTTTCAGGTACATAGTTTATTTTGCTTTCTTATCATCCGCTACTACCCTTTGTCCTAGAAAATCCTTTTCTTTCACTAGGTCATCACGTATTTCTGCCACTCTCATTTGTAGCCCCCAGATCCACTACTGGCAACTCCTGCTGATGACAGATGTCTCACAATCAGCTGCAAGCCTGCTCTTGGCTCCAAGCCTGAGGGAAGCTCCAGACTTTTTTAAAGTTTGCTCTTTGTAGCAGCACTTTTATACAGATGCAGCAAAGTCACCTTTTCCTGAAGTACAGCTTCTTAGAGAATTCCAGGTCCCTCTCCACCACCAAGGCTGAATACCTGTAGAAACAGTTTGAGAAATATTGCAGACAATGCTATCCAGCAGGGTGAGTAAGCACGGATGGCACTTTGCCCTGGGAGTCCTGTTTTGAGCAGTCAGAGCATGTCAGTGGATTATTTCATTGCCTAATATACAAAGCAGGAGCTCTGGACGCGAGTATGCAGACAAACCTTCATCATACCAACCCTAAGCTACGTACATCCTCCTCCTCCACCTAATGCAATACTTTCATCTCTTCCCATGCCTCCTGCACCACTCAACCTCAGTATTACCTTCCCCCACTCATTTTTTCTACTTACCTGTGGCAAGTCAGAAAGAATACATAATTGTCCAATGAGGAGCTAAACAAAGAGAGTCTAAGGCGTGCTAACTCATCAACCAACCAGCAGGAAAGTCTACAAATTCAGATTGGCTAGATATTCCACTGCTATATACATTCAGATTGGCCCGGTGCCTATCTATCAGACGCTGGCAGCCAAATACCATAGCCTTCTAGCCTGCAAAAAAAATGGTTTCAGGGGCTATGTCTGTAAAGATCCAATACACAAAGTAATTGTGTCAACGTTTGGCCTACACTTTCTGTAATATCTGTGTGCAAGGAAGCCAACACCAAAGGACTTGCTAACTCAGCTCCATGTGACGTTAGTGGCTATGTCTGCATTAGCAAGTAGCACTTTGCAATAGAAAGACTGTGAACTAAGACACTGGCTGCTGAGAACTGGATGCCCACGCTACATGCTCTTGGGAAGTGCTTTACTTTCTACTAGCTCTAGACCAGTCCTGCAGGCAGACACCCCAACAGCAGATGGAGTCCTAGAATACGTTATCTGATTTCATAGAAACACAGAACGCTTCAGGCTGGAAGGGACCTCTGGAAGTCGTCCAGTTCAACATAAAGCTGTTTGCCCAGGACCATGTCCAGAACATTGCCAAGGATGGAGACTCCACAACCTCTCCAGAGAACCTGTGCCAGCGCTGGGTCATTCTCACAGTAAAAAAGTGGTTATGTTCAAACAGAATCTGCCATATTTCAGTTTTTATTTTAGCCTTAGTCTTATCCAAAAATAATCCAGTTTATCCAGTTTGAGACCATTCAAATAAAATCAAATTGTTGTTCAAGAGATTTGCTTCAATAGCAAAACCACAACCCTTTATCCTCGTTGAAATGCTACAGCAGATTTATTCACTGGTTCTTCTACTGCAACCATGTTCTGATACCCTTATTCACAATCAGCAGTGTCTTACTTTAAGAAGTGGTGTTTAATACAGTATTTCTTTAAATGTTTTAATATGGTATGGGCAGTTTTTTGATTCTTCCTTAGCTGTCTCCCCATCTCCAAAACCAGGACACAACATAAAATACAGAGAACTGTCTAATCACAGATATATACCACCACACTATGCATTGCAATGGTTTAAACTATAGAAATATATGCTTAATCCATTCAAAACTTGGTAATAACGCAAATAAGAGATAATGAAGAAAGATGGGTGCATTCCCTTCCAGATTAATTTCTTACATTAGCAAGATTATATCCCAAGAATTCATAAAGCTGTAATTAGCACCTGTGACAGAAACCTGAAAAAAACTTTGAAAACTTGTATGCCAACACAAAACACTATCAGTGACCAGTAACCACACACACCTCGACGACAGCTACATTTCTAGAGAAGTACATATAGGCATTAGATAGTCCTTGCATTTGGAAGCCTATCCTGCTCTAACACATTGATGTCTTAGACAGAGACCCAAATGAACCAGGCCCCAAGCCCATTTTGAAATCAATGCACAGCAGGGCTGATGGCAGATTAAATACATTGTGCATAGACTCACATAGGTGTATGGTTGTATACAGTGTGATCTAACCCACATCAGCCGTGGGTTAGATGCCTTGCATGCTGAGGGTGCCCAATGTTCAGAGCTTTGCAATCAATCAAAGCACCCCTGTTCTAGTATTGCTGAAGTCATGGCTATAGCTCTGTGGCAGATCATCAGCTGAGAAAACAGTCAGTCAGATCATTCATGAAAATACAATTCAGTTTGACCAGCACAATTGCTACCACTGCAGTTTAAGAATCACCAGACCATCTGCAGAAAAATACTACTGATATAATTTAGGAATAGGGACACGAGGAACAACAATAGTGTCAAATAACACATACTACAACACTTTCGATGTCTTCCAAAACAGAGTAAAGAGACATTCTAATGAAAACTCTCAGAAGGATGGGCTTCCAAACATCTATTTTCTCTCTAGTATTTTGTTTATCTTCATATCATTAGAAAAGATCTCTACGAGTACAGTCTCTCAGCTTTTGCCATTTTAATGAGACTTTCACAAAAACTTCAAAAAAAAAAATGTTTAAAAGCCTCTGTTAAAATTAAACTGTATAATAAAATTGCATCATGCCCAAATGCTTTATTCCTTCAACCTTTAACCTAGCTAGTCAGGGAAATGAATTAATGAATCAACTTGCAAAATGAAGTGCTACTTTTATGAATATAAGCGGCAGAATCTGGCACTCAGAAGACTTCCTGCTAAACTGGCCTGGCCATATAGACAGCATATGTCTTATACATTTTAACACAACATTTTAGGAAAGTAATAACTGCTATTTCTACCCATTAACGTGTGCAAATTTTAATTTTCAAGTTCATCAATTTGCATGGTGATAAAAAAAGAAAAAGGTTTCATTGGACCTTTCTTGATAAAATTTTAATAGAATAGCTGTTAACATTCAAAAATGCCTCAGGGTTAATTGTTATTAATTCTTGTAGCATTGATTTAATTTTTAAGTGTAGGTAGGATGCTTTTCCCATGCCTGCAACCCTATTTTTATCATAAACAAGTTGCTTCTTGACTACTTCTCAAAAAAAAAAAAAAAAGAAATCACTCCCAGTCATTTTCATATTCATATGGAAAAAGTGGTACTGCTAGACATATTAGTATGTTTAAAGAAACCGGGGGAAAATATAAGAAAAATTCTGGTTACAAATAAAATACGCAAAATATTCTGGATATAAAATTTCCACAGACAGTATTTAATCCAAATGCTTTTTCAAAATAAAACAAGAATAAGGAATTTGTAAAATACACATGCTAACTAGGAGTCACCAAGCCAAGCGGAAGTGCTGTACAGGGAGGTGTGGCTGTTGCCCCGTTAAAGCCAAGGTGTCAGCACTGCGACAGTGGCATCTCCTTCTATTTAGAAGCCAAAAACCGGAGTCCTCTCCTGAGGGCAGTGCCTACAGTAGCCTTTGAAGAACTAAGCATGGCTCACCCCGTTTTGAAACACAGCTGCTGTGGGAGGGGGCATGCTATGCAACACCCCGGCAGTTACAGCACCTGCTGTGTTGTGCTCAAGCTTTCAAGATTAGCCCTGTTTCTTCTCTCATGATTATTTAATAAAATGTACGTCTCTATTCAAAAGTCTGGGTTTGAGTCCAGGGCACACTGCTCTCCCTCTTCTAGAGTACCAGAGTCATTAGGTTACAACCATGTTGCCTCCTGCATCTGAACACTTATATTTTGTGAAATCCATTTGGTTTCAACTGAGGAAGCAGAAGGGGACTCTGTCCCTAACTCCCTTCCCACCTTCCTCCAGCCTAAACACAGGGCTGGTGATTAACATACTGTCATGGGAAGGAAGAGACATTGATATGAATGAGGACACACCTGAATCCAATTTTCTTGCTTGTCCAACTGGTCTAACCACTATGCTAACCACTGGATCATGAGCAACCTGGTTTTGAATAAGTGTCCGTTGCTACTCTGGTTTGTTTTGTTGGTGGTTTTTTTAAAGGAATTATCCAAGTATTCACATTGGATCAGTCCCTCATGAGGCTTAGATGACACCTGAGCTCATTTCTCATTGGCTTAAGTCCCTACTCACACATACCAAACACTACAATTGCTAGGAGGTCTTTCAGATGAATCAGAATATGCCTACAGAGTTAAAGTAGCTCCATGATTACGCAGCTGCTGAAGAAGGCTGGTTGGATTTTTACTACTGTCAGTCTTCAATGAACCAAGTCTTAATAAACATATATATATATTAATATAAATACTTATATGTATAGTAATTCTGCATACTCCATATAATATCAATGATTTTTAAAAAAAATATTCACTATCAGAAAAAGGTGTAAGACTATGGTAGGCAGCTTGTGGATCAGGGTCTCAAGTTGTGATCAAAACTTACACACACCACTTCTAATAATATTTAAAAGCTTTTGATTAGGACCTAAATGGACCAGGCAATGTGAATAAAGCAGACAAATAGACATTCCTTTTCCCTTCTTCCATATAGAAAGAAGAAAGTAGTCCAAAGGTTAAAAAATTGGACTTCCATTAAAAAATATTGTAAAATGTCCTCTGATATTTATAATTAATGCAATTAAAAAATTCCCATGTTGATCATGACTTGGCAATTTTATTTATTTTCTAAAACTAAATCCACATGGGAATGAAAATAGATATTGTTTTAAATTTGGTTACCACGTAGAATCATAGAATATATTCACACACGAGGCCTGATTACTCAAGCTGTGCCTTTTTTCATATCCAAATTACAAAACACTTTCAACAGCATTCTGTGTGGTATTGTTCATTTTCCAAGGATATGATTATCATCTGAACATATGGAAAAGAGGAGTATTTTAGCTAATAACTATACTTATGTATACAATCTACCCAGCCTTTCTGTATAGGTACAACGTGAAAACCCTTTCCATTTATTTCATTTCTCATTGTACAGGGTTTCCTCTCCATTCTTTTAATTAAACTTCCTCCCCCCGCCCCCCTTCAAAGGAGTCCTTTGTAGCAGCAGTTTTAATGACTTATTCTCTCAAGTTTTAGAAGATACTTTCCTTTCTGCCAAGTGTACTATGCTCCTGCCATGCCTTCCTCACAGCTGCTCTGCCGGTGTCCCAGATGCTTCATCTCCCCACCTCTGCAGCTTAGCAGCTCAGAACTGCATAGAGCTGCTAAAAAAGAAACAAAGCAGCTGACAGAAAAAGCATAAGCAAAACAAGCAACTTTGGCATTAAGTGTATAAAAAAAGTGATTAAGTAATACAACATCTACACCTGCATAGCTTCTGTGACCTATGTGACATGAATCACAGCACTGACTCATTCTTTTTAAAAAACCCACCCAAACCCTGTA